ATATATATATATATATATATATACACGAACGTGGGACAGAGGGGTTCAAGTTGCCCATTAGATATAATACGCGTGTTAAATTGGTCGTTCTTTGTAAAAAACGAAATGTTATTAGTGACCGATATTCGTCGTACGTACCTTGACAAAGTACCAGTGTATAAATACCCCGTGTTCGTCGTCGTGCGAGGTACACCAGGTAACGAGTATCCTTCCCAGTGTTATTATTCATTTGCCAAGACTCGAGATTAATTGAAATTTTTCAACTCGAGTGCACACATTTCACGCAACTTTGCACAACGGTGGAGAGTAAGTAAAGTAAGCGCGACGATGCGGCGTTTAAATCAATCTAATCCCGCTAGTAATTAATCCCGCTCACGCTATCGTTCGTCCTCGTGTTTATTACGTGTGACGCATCGTACCGGTTCAAACAGACCAACCGCTAGTTGGCGAAAATGCAAACCTCGTACCGCTCTCCGTGCTGGTCAAATGTCCGTCAAATGTCCTCGGTGTTGAAAAATTTCGACAAATACCAATACCGATGAGTTATTTCTTTTTCGTTGGACTTTTGTTCGTTAGACACTTTCGAGCAGAGCAGAAACGTATAGTTGCAAACGAAACGTATTCAATGGTCATACGTTCGTCGGTCGAATCGTGTGATTTTCATCGCTTTCACGACTTTTTTTTACAATTGTACAGTTGATACAGAATCTGATCGGGAGAACTCTGAAATTGTGAATCGGCCGCTGCATATGCAACGATCCAACAGATTTATCACGTTGTCCCTCGAATCTCGTTCCTCTCGTAGACAGATATTGAACATTTGTACACCCCGGTAACTTGGAACGTGTAGAAAGTCGGCAATGTCATATACACGGTACACGGTTCCTGTCTTTTTCACTTTTTCGAGAAGAGCGAGAACAGCGAGTGTTCGATTAATCCTCGAGAGTGGACGAGAGTGATTATAATTATTTCGAGTAAACAATCATTTCCTATCTATCGGAAATACTGTCACTTTCTGTCGAATTTCAAAGCTTTTCAAACATATGTGCATCGGCGACTATTAATTTGAAATATATCACCATCAACAGAGACATTACTTTCTCTCTTACTTGGAGCCACATAATCTCTGCAGCTCGTTTCTACGAATTTATCGTAGAATCGTGTGACATCCACCAGACTCGTATCCCAATTCACCAATTCATCAGACGCTCTCTCTTTCATCATCTCTCTTTTAAAAATTCATCTCGATAAGCATCGAAATGATGCGTATCATCACCTCAATATTTCTCCCAAGTAGTAGTACTTGCGTGTACCTACCTACTTCTCGACGCTTCTCGTAGCTATCGGTAGAAAAGAAAGCAGAATAAATTATGGTTAGAGTGGTACACAGACTTACGGACAAGTAGATATTGTAATTACGAAATTTCCTTTATTTCACTGCGAATTTGTGTGCTTTTACAATCGGTCGCGTAACAATAACTACTCTCGTGTATGCGTGTGCGTGTGCGTGCGTGAGCAAAAAAAAAAAAACAAAAATCATTTCAATGTCTCACTGTCTCGATGTCTCGATTCTCGTTGTGAA